GAAAAATGTGTTGGCTATAATGAGGTTTCGTTATATCAAGGTTACCCTTTTTCATATATTTTACTATGGTAAAGAAAGTTGTTTGTTATACCGAGGACTTCGTTATATAGAGGTTCCTTATATCGAGGTTCTACTTTAGAATGCAAAGTGGAAGAGCTCAAATCAAGAGGTTGGAGATCGTGAAGCCAAGGATCCAAAATTCCAGCTAGTAATAAACCATCCTGGATTACTCCACATGAAGTGTTACAGTTGTGATTGATTAATACTGGAGTTATTAGTGAAGAATAATAAGGGGGAGGGGAGGGATGGCTTAAAAAGAGGGGGGCTTATTAACTTTCTCCCTCTGAAAAGGGAGAGCTTATTAGAGGGAGGGGACTTAATAGAGGATTTATAGAATAATAGAATAGAATGTAAGGCTAGTATTACGTGGATTTGTAACTAATAAGTTTATATTAAATTTTAATTTGTAGTGGCTCCATTGATGGTAATAACCAGCTCATCATCAAAGGACGTTTTCAGCAAAAACAGATTGAAAATGTGCTTAGAAGATATATCAGTAAGTTGATGCATTTTGGAGGATGGATGTTTTTAAGAAATTCTGTTTAAGTGCTTGTCATAAATCACAGGGAGTTTGAAATAGGTGCAAATTGTACAAACCTCAACACCGAATTGACTTTTATTTGTAAGAAGTGCGGAGTGTTGGTGGAACTTTTGGAAGTACATGTAGAGTCTTGACTAGCATCCAACACAGCATCACAACCATGACCTGTAATCGAAGGCTGAGCATCAGTCATGGTGATGTGAGATTTAAATGTATCTTTAGATGAGCAAAGACAACTACAGAACCTATAGACAGTGGAAGAGAATGTGAAGAGAGGTTCTTGTGAACACATTTAATTCTGGCCCCCTACATAGGCTGAAAAATATTGTTCTAACATGACTCCGGGCCTTTACCGTCAAAATTGCACGTTTTTCACGACTCTAGCCTAAGAAAACCAATGGCATTTTGTGACACCACCAATGGTTTCCCCGCAAAATTACGTCTGAAAAACAAGTGCAGAGATTCCATACTGATGACGTGTTCCTACCTATACCTAGGTTGTGCTTCTGATTGGATCATGCAAATTTACAATCTGAAGCACTGCCCAGATCTGGATAGTGACACGTCATCAGTGTGGAATTTCTGCGTTTGTTTCTCAGACGTCATTGACAATTCCAAGAAGAGACTTGAGCACAATTAAAACCAAACCAAATAGAGAAATATGCCCATAGGGATCATGTTAGAATAATGTATCGAACATGTATTGAACAAAATCACTCTGAGAAAAAGTGGGACTGGGGAGAAAGCCCTCTCTCCCCCATTCTCTTCACAGTTTGTTTTAGTTTTCAGATCCTGTATTACTAAGCCTCCACTCAGCTGACTGCAAAACAAACTGAACACCTGCAGTCTAAAAAACCATTCTAACCACACTGTAACTTGCTTTCCCTCTTGTTTCTCTCCAACAGAGGAGTATGTGACATGTCACACATGTCGTTCACCGGAAACCATTCTTCAGAAAGAGACTAGGCTGTTTTTCATTCAGTGTGAAACTTGTGGATCAAGACGATCAGTTGCTAGCATCAAATCAGGTTTCCAGGCCATTACACAGAAGAGAGCTCAGCTTAAGAGTAAACAACAGTGAAGTCTAATGTTCACCATCCACTACTGCTAAAACTGGACAGTACCATTCATTTGGTTTACAGAGCTGGCATTAAAAACAATGATGAAAAAAAGGATCTTGCGTCTGCATTACAGATACAGCATGAAAGCCAAGATTGTAAAGAGATTGTCTACAGATGTTTTGAAAAACATATCTATTGTTTTTAATGAAAACTGAACTTTCCATCTAAATACAAAAAAGGATAATCTTGTAAACTTTTTGTGAGAAAATGATGTAGCTGTACAGAATTTAAATTGCCCACTGGTATTTCTTGCAGTCATAAGTACAGTTGACTTGTATCAAGTGATAATTTGTGTTATCAGAGTTAGAACTCAAAGTAGACAAAATACCTCAATAAATTAGCATTATCACAGCTGTTTTTGCAAGACAAAATTGCTAATCTGATACATAAGCCTGATAAAAAATGGTACTGCATGTAAACATTTTTAGGTGTCTCTCTTTCAAAACTTCACAAGTCTCTATCATTACTTTTTAGAACTAGCCTTGAGTTTTTTTGCGATTTAAAAGAAAACTTGAGTAAAGGTTAAGTACTATCTGAAAGGATTCCTTTTGGGTGGAATTTTCATGGTATTAGGTTGTTCTACAAAATCATGTCATTGTAACGTTGCAAACTTATAAATGAATTTGGCTGAATACACTTAGCTTTTCCTGTATAATAACAAGTAAATTTATATTAGTATTTGCATTGAAATATTATGGCAAAAATTGATTTCAAAATGTGGTGAATTGACCAAACTCTGGTGCAGCGAAGGTTACTTTGTGAGGCAACAACGGTAACCATTTGCACAGTCACAGCGTCACCATGGCAGCAGATTATTTTCTGGTGACAGTTATCCTTGGTCTCAAGCTACAGTGTAACTGTTTGGCTTCAATTTTCCCCCAAATTCTATTTTCCACTTCTATTTTTCCTATTTTATTGAACCACAACATAACTAGTCAGCCAGGCTCTGAACAGCACAGGCATAGTTGATGCTTACTCTTTCAGGGCTGTGTTCTAACAGAGCTTATTGGTCCCAGGTGCCCAACTTTTGCTCTCTTAGTTTTTTCATACAAATCAAATGCCAGGTACCCTAGATTTTACGGTTTCAGAGTACCAGCTGTAAGGCTCCCTTCAATTTCCCTTAGAGCACAGCCTTGTATTTCTTATAATAGCACCGATGGCACATCATGCTTGTGCTGTTTACTAACTACTGGTACCTTACTACATTTGATTTTCATATATCGAGGTACAGAAGTGTGATGTCACAAAAATTCATATTTGTGAAATTATGGGATTGGTTAGCATATTTAGAAATAACAAGACAAAAAAGGCCCCTTGCCAAAAATCATCCTGTAAGTGCAGATTGGTGAAGAGATATCAGCACCCGTTTGCTCTGATGACTCCATACAAATCATTGGAGCATACTTTGCTTTTATATCCTCACCAATGTGCACTAACAGGCTGTTTGTTAGCAAGTGACGAATTTCATCTTGTTCTTTCTGGATATTTTCACTGATTTGTTCTTGGGATGTCATCACCTCTCTTGTCTATTGACAGTGATATTTGGCAGTACTTAATGTCTAAGATTCAGTTACATTAATAATTTAATTTTAAACAAACTGAGTCGTTTCACAATTTTTACGTCCTATTATTCACAACACCTAATTTCCTCAATCTTTGAACATTTCATGCAATAAGGTAACTTCTGTATAATTATTTACATGACAAAACATGCAGGAAGAAATAAAAAAGCACAAAATTTATTCTCCATTTTGCCTAATGCTTTGCTCTGCATCTTCTTACGTTTTTTCTTTTGAACAACGGTAGAGACAATCTTGCTGGAACCCAAAAATAAAGTAACGCGTGTTTTCACTGTTTTGTCCCCTGTGAATTCAGGGTCAAATGAGTAAACCCAGGGGGGGAGGGGGTGGCTATTTACTCAAAATACCTCTATGGTAATGGTAATCAAACACAAGAAACGAACCCCTCCAACTGGCAGGACAACTGTATCCAAAAAAATTATGTACAGAGCACCTACTTCTCCTAAGAGGTAGCTATATACAGTAGTATGGTCAACTCTCTGGTACATGCTCTGTTTGTTCGAACATTCGATAATGCCGACCACCAGGCCCTGGTTGTTCAAACGTTGGATAGCACTATCCAACGTTTGAACAACCGGGGCCAGATAAAGTAATTATCCAGTGGATAGCATTATCTGCCTTTCGGACAACTGGGTACAGAAGATCTGTTGGTACCCCAATGCCAAACCACCTATGATCATTAAGCATAAAAGCGATGAACAATACATAAAAAAATGAAAGTGTAAAACAAAACATTAAAATTAACATGAAGAACAAAAGAATGAAAAAACTGTCATGTTTAACAAGCATTTTTGTTTTAATTATATCATCTCCCTTGTACCCTGGGACCAGGCTCCAAAGTGGGGCAAAAAGGCAAAAAACAGGGTCAGACTACCTCTGGTCACCTCTTGGCTTGCTTCGCTCGCCGATTTTTTTCTCCCTTTTCCCCCAATGCAGGCTTGTAAAACTCAAAGCAGTGAGACTGTACCTTAATGAAAATAAATTGGTGGCGTTATGAACAGGGTTTTGCTTAGTTGGTAATCCATTTCAGTCAGAATCACTGCACCAAATCTGACAAAACAAAAATCAATTTGGTCAAAAAAAGAACTGACAAAAATTATATCTAATATCACCTCAAAATATAGAATATAACAGCAGTAAAGACAGATTGACAACAAATCCGGTATTTTATTCAAAGGTGTCTGCACCATGTTGTACATACAGTAGATAATTTCCTTGATAAATACGAGTATAAATACATTAAAATCCTTGATATGAGTAACCACAAACAATTATTTGATGTTCCTTGTTCAACTAGTCTAAGGGTATAAATTAAGTTTACACGTTATATGAAGATATAGATCGAACCACATGAACCAGAGGAGACAAAAATATCCTATCAATATTATATTCTGATATTGACAAGAAAAAAAAAACGCTCAACTAACAAAACATACAAAAAGAAACCTTGTTCCTCGTGTTCTCAAATGTAGGGAAAAAACTGTGCTAGAGAAAGTTCAATGGTTTTTAAATAATGTTATGGTGAATGTGTAGTTACATTGCTAGGTGGAAACATTTTTAATATTCTAACATCACAATGATTCAATTATACAAAGTAAAAAATTTAAAAAATGTTCTACCTATTCAAACTACTTAAGTGCAACATTCCTTGTCTTTTTTGGTTTAGCAGTGCAATATTTTCTTACACGCTTAGTATAAATAGTTTAGTCCATTATTTGAATATTTATATTAATTTATTCTTCTTCTCTCATAAAATGACTTGCTATACCTAATGCCCCACCCATACCAAACCGAACAAAATTGTCCCCAATAAGTGGCCCTACTGCAAACAAAGCAGGCTCATTCACAGACTCGTAAGTAAACGGATTGATGTCAATAGGATTCTCTTTGCTGTCGACTGGTTTCATGGGCTTAGCTCCAAGTGATTTGACTCCACGTAAGAAGGACAGATCAGGTTTAGCACCAATCAGGACAAAAACATTTGAGACCTTTTGCTTAAACAGAGATCCATCAGCCTTTTTTAAGATGCACTCTTTGTTCTTACGAATTTCTACCAAGGTGGTTTTGGTAAAGGGGGTATACATAGCATCTTTGCCATATGCCGTTGTTACATCTCCCTTGATCATCTGGCCAACTTTGTAATACTCTGGATAAACCACACCTGGGAGTTGATTGTAAATGATTTTGGGATCGTTTGCATTCTTGCGGACCACATGTATAACAGGAATGCCTTTGTTTCGCAGAGCTAGAACACAGTCTGCTGCTGACAAGCCTGCGCCAACAACTAGACAAGGATCCATTGACAGTGGAGAATCTGCAAGCTCATTTAAATATCTGTCAATCAGATCCATCTTGTGGTAAACAAATGGCAATTTTTCTCCCGGAATACCAAGAACTTTAGGGAATCGGTTTCCAGTAGCAAGAACAACATTGTATGCATGGACAATGAAAGGTTCACAACCTCCACTGTCAGTCGTCCTTACACCTCTGATCTCCCAACAACCATCTCTTTGAACATCAGTCGTTCGACAGTGGCAATTGGTACAATCCGCTTGAAGCACGCGCTTTACAGACAACACCTCTGAATCACTCCAAAAGTTTCCTTCAATGTTGGTATTTTCGACATAGTCCTTGTAATACTCAGCGATATGGCTGGTTGTAGCTCGATCATAGTTGTATCCATCACTTTTTACCCCATTGGTCACAAGGTTGCATGGCTTTCTCACTGTAGAAGATCTGTGGTCCCTTAGCCAGTCTTGGAAGTCGCACCCTGGTAACTCAAGCCAGTTGTTAAGACTTAAAGTAAGCTGAGAGCCCTGCATGTTGTGCCAGCATCCCCCTGGTGGACCACTCCCAAGGACAAGGTGCTTAATGGCTTTACTTGGATGGTGATGCCACTTGAGACATGATCCCTGGTCTTTACCAAGGTCAGCTTCAGGGCGTAACAACTGATCAAACAATAATGCAACAGGATTGAAAGAGCGTCCTTCCAAACCCTCGCTCAAATACTCCAAATCCTGAAAATGGTGGAGAGGAGAAAAGTAATCAAGTTATCAGCTTAGATTTCCCTTGAAGGTTCAAGTTATTGGGTGTTGACTGTACTTAAAATATGGGAAGAAACGTTTAAAACACACACTCAGAGATATTTGTCTGCTTAATACAGGGTGTCTGCTTAATACCGGTTTCACTGTATTATCTTTTGGTAAAGATTAACAAGTTTGTACTTACATTGTCCAGCAATGATTTCCCACGTTCCTCACAGAGTTTCTGGTCTAGAAGGGTGTTTGGATGCTGGTGTGGGATGTAGTATGGCACATTTCCAGATAGTATATAAGACAAACTCAGTGCATTCGGGCCATTTCCTGCAATAACAATTCAAAATTGTTAATAATAGTTCGAAAATCCAGACTTATTTTTAGAGCAGTAATATCCGTACATTGTGCGTAATTTTCATAAAATGGAAAGACTGCGCCTACACATTGTTCCTTACAAGCCACCTCCCATGAAATAGGTGGCAAGGTCGTGAAACTAGTAAATAAGTTCCTCCCTCAAATATTAACCATGCCCTTCAATCTCTCTTTTACCTTCCTTATTATATATATTTAGAAGGGATATAAAAAGGACGACAACATTTTTCTCCATTTGAATGATTTTTTAGACTATGACAACACCTGTCCAGCTTTCGCATCCATTTTTTTTTTGCAAGCCAGTCTCTGTTAAGATAATTTGCCCTAAGAAAATGTTATTAAAGAAAAAACCATATGCAAGTACACCCTTTGTAAATGATTTCTGTCATCAAGCGATTCACCAAGAAAATGCACACAATCTGTACTCTTGTAGGAGAATATTCTGCAGAGGTTTAAATATGCAGGATGTCAGATCCTGGCAAGGGAATCCACACTTGGCCACAAAAGAATACACTTTGCTTTACATAGCTGTCTGCCCACCAAGGTGTACAATAGAAAGGTACCAGTAACACGATAACTCAGGGGGGTAACCCTATGTTGGAATTAAGCATCCTTGATAAGCAGGAGGCAAAATGCTTCCCAGAGCTTCATACCACAGAAAACTAGATTATAGACCCAAATCAATGAATGTGGGAGTGTCCTTGGCTTGAAGTCTACCTTTTATTTTCTTGTGCATATGTTTATGATTTGGTGGAAATGCATTGGCAGGTGTATTAAGTATGCATGACAAGCTTTTGGTGTATGAGCTTCCCCTGTTCAGTTTCCTTAGATTAGAAATTCCATTCCCTACTACAGTGTACAAAAAGAAACAACAACATTATTATAGATGGGAGTTAAAGCCCTGTTATATTATTTTAGTAGTCTTAATAATTTAATATTAATTAATATTTTCCATTTCCAAAGTTCAAACAAAATTATGCATTTTATATCAATTGAATATAATCAGTGCTAGGTTTATTTACATTTGGCAATGGAAGAGCTTAAGTGATATTTATTTTCCTAACTGAAATAAGTTCTAATAAGAGTTTTTCTTTTGCTCCTAGATGAATGTGGAGAACTTAAATGAAATAAAATATATAAGGTTAGACATACTTGGGCTTGCCAAAAATAACTTTTGAGACCCTTTAATTTTCCATGGCAAAGTGGTGTACTGAATCATTCATGCAACAAAAACTTATTAAGAAATTGCCTAATCATACATGCAAGTATATTGCAAAATGCATGGATGGCAGGTAGTGACCTCTTGTAGACACTGCCAAACATGAAAATTTGGTTATATATGGTTTATAAACTATTTAAGGTACAGCTTACCTATTATCACAACCTCGTATTCATCAGTATCGCAGGAAAACAGCGACATCTGCCTGACAGGTTCAAGTGTACTGCAAACTAATTTTTACAGCAAAATAAATTAGGAATTATATTTGGACAGGTTAATCATGCAAACATATACAGCACTTTTTAGGTTAACAACAAACCTTCCATGCACTCGAAAAAAGTTCACTAGTAAACCCACGAAAAGTTATGTGTGAATGTTTTTTTAAACGATGTGGGACACTTTCACAAGTGAGCTAAAATCAAAATTGACATCATGTAAAGAACGCCAGCTGAGTGTGAAGATTATAATAATAGTGAGATGATTCAGCAAAATATTTGAAAGCCAAGGGAGGATGAAGGCCACTAAATAATAAATTTAATTGGCGTATTCTCTTTCGGATTCGAAGACTCTGGTGAAAACAAACCTTCTGTTATGAATTAAAGTCTCCCTTTCTTTGCTTCGACATTCTAGAAGCTTTAGAAAGCTGCTATAAAAACACCTTCACGGACTACACCTGCCATTTGAAGCATGTGAAAATTGCGCTGTATAAACTATAAAGATTAGAGCGTGGCCGGCTGGTTTAGACTAATCCTAAAAATGTTGGGGTGATTTATCCTTAGAGAAAAAACGATAAATAATATATTGTACCGTTACAACATGCAGGGAACAATTTTAAGAGCCTTCAAAACAAATGAAAGCTGCAGTATTCTTGACAGCAGATTGCGTACTGTGCGAGTCGTTTGAAGAGTTTGTGATTCAAGTAGAACGTTTGGGTTTAAGCTGAACACCTATCTTTATAAATCAGCGTATTAAAATTGGAGGCGAAATTACCCCAACGAACCAAACAACGACTGTTAGCCTCGTTTAGATTTTGAGTTAAAAGTTCTCTTTTACCTCAATAAGGCATAACTTTAGCTTAAGCTTAAAGACAAGTAAACACTGGACATATCTGCAGAATTTTCATCTCTACGCCTCTCCATAATAAGAGCTCGGAAAGTTTGAATTCGGTTAGAATATATTTTAAATAGAGACAATTAAGCTTAAAAGCAAGGCTATAAATTATGAAAATCGCTAGTATCATGCGTACTGTAGGTTGCTGCAAACTGAATTGGAACTTTAAGCTTACATGCACACAAACAGATTCATACGTGTACTGCGCACCTTTTATAAAAATAAAAATCAACCTTATTTTCCCACCTCGCCGACGAGCGTTTGCCAACCTTTCACGCCTTCACGGCCACGCGGTCAAAAGGAAGATCCTCTGGTTGTGCTGATGTTTTGTAATGCACATTAGTCAAGGTGTCGATTTACGTCACGAACATTACGAACTTCTTTGGCGCTGCTCTCACCCCTGGCCCTCCCAAACTACTGAAAGTAATATCTTGTATCAATCTCAAATGTTGGGTTTTCAATGCAATATCCCCAAAGACCCAAGGAATTCGTTACAGCACAGGAACCGTTCTAGAACCCTTACAAAAGTGATCACTAGGCGAATATTTTACAGCTAAAAGTTGAAAGAAATCGCGTTTAAGAAGGATAGACTGGGAATGAGTTACGGCTTCGAACACATTCGAACACAGGTAGCCCACTCTCCGAACATGAGTTTAATTCGTTCTATCGACTTAAAATTCAACAATTTAACTGGCTAATCATTTCAGTTGAAATAAGTGAGCCCTTCTGCCTTGCCGGAATGAAGTTGGCTGTGTAGCGTGCGAGGGCAGCACCCCAAAAGAAATTACATGGGGAGCTTGCTAGCAGGCCATAGACCCACTCTAAACCTTTTGATTGTCTAGATAATGCTTGGACCGGCTGCAACGCGGGCTAGAATGAAATGGAAAGAGAAAATTTTGATCGGAAACTGAACAAAGTCAGGAGCGCATTACACTTTCCATAGGAACACACAAGATGGAATGACTTCTCAATCAATATCAATTAAAGGACCACAATCATCGTTTTAATACTCTCTATGTCATGTAAAGAATGTACGAAGGCAAATTTGCATAGAAATTCGCTGATACTATCCGGGTTACACACAGGTGGCCCAAACTCATTACATGAACGCAGTGGAACACCAAAATAGCGCTAACTCGCCGAAAACGCTTCAAAACGGCCTGAGACGCGGGTAAACAACAAAGAATACAACAAGGCAATAAGGTACGTCGATTTTATTTAAAAACATAACATTTTTTATCTCTTTTAAGAAAAACCGATCGATCCCATACAAGCCTTTGTAAATAACCGTTTGTAACACAACACCGCTCGCACGCTCGCAAGCAAGAGTCACGTCCGCGTTCATGTAATGAGTTTGGGCCGCCTGTGGGTTACACACTTGTTTAAGACTCGCTATCGATTGCGTGACGTTTTGTTTATTACGTCACGCTAACTTATAAATTAATGTTATGTTGTTGTTATGTTTAGCGCAACACAGTGTTGCAACATTGTTGCGACATTGTTTCGAATAGTTACAACATTGTTTCACTATTGCAAGGATGTTTTCCGCTAAAAAATCGTCGTTGCGAGTTGTCCCGTGTAACGTCACCTTTAGCAAACCCGAGAGGATGGATTCTTACGTAAAGGTAGAATTACGTAATTTTCGGATAAGGCCCCTCTATCCTTCACGAACAGCTAGCGTAGCACGGTTCATACTTTACATTAGGATCTACTCCTACGTAATCTAACTTTAATTTGCTGTCTGTCGCTATGTCTTTGAAAGCTTATATAAGTCCATGCAATTTGGTTTTAGTTTCTTATACGTGGTTGAACTCGTTAGTGAATCAATATCCTGACTAAAATTCTTGCATAATTAAATAAAGTAAAATTGTATTCATTTTTTTCTTTGAAATGTACCAAAGCATAATGCAACTTAAGTTGAACCCGCGTCGTCCTTGAATTAAGCAGTCAAAATTTGACCGTCAGCGAGGTCCAGAAGTTTTCATCCCATATTTTCAGTGTAAGACGGATATCAGCAAGGATCCTGTCTGTGGCCGCTTGATCATACAGGCTTATACACCAGGCACAAAACGGTTTTCATAAACTTTAACTGCGCCCAAAAGACTACTTTGGGCTAAAGTTCAATGTTACTTTTTCTCATTTGACACTTTACAAAGTTCTTTTGAACATACTAATTTGGAGAGTAATTTGGTAATATTCCTTATTTTTTAGTTCATTATCATAGGATACCAGAATTAAAGCATAAACATGGAGACGGAAGTGTCTGCCTCCGCTCAGCTTTCAATCTGCAAGTTCATTTTTGTTTTCAGAACTGAACGAATTTTATATCTGCGCTAACAAACTTCCATTAATTGCGCAACGTTTTGGGTAGGTTTTAGAGAGAACGCTAATCGAAAACAACTATTTCAAAGGTTTATACAAACAAGGCTTTATATACTTGCGGAAATGATCTACAAACTGAGTAGACGATCATGAGTTTAAGACTGGCTATATCTGAACATGAAAATACACAAATCGCATAGACCTAGACTTTACCTGGATATAACAAACAGTTATTAGACTTATCCGTCGCTTCAAGAACGATTCGTTAATTATAAATTCTTAAGCGAGTTTATTGTACAAAAGATACTCACCTTAGCCTCTAACTCTTCACTGACTCTTTAACTGCTCTAGCGACTACCAACACCGTCAAGACGGAACATCGAAACAGAACGCGATCTTCAAATTAAGGCTAATTAAGCTGAAACGGCAGTATTGCTTAGTCAGGGAGCCTGCGCGCCTAGGTCACGTTTTTCCGCTTTTTTTAAACATTCGGTGAACAAATATCAAGTGTTTTGAGGCCAGTTATTCAGTTATCAGCACAAAACAAAAGAAAGCTTTGGTATTGCATTCTCGCTTCTCGGTCCACTGGTCTGAAGCGAATGTAAAGAATGTCTCACAAATATCGTTAATAAAGGGCTTAGTTTGACGCAAATATAATTTTAGTAGCTAGGTAACACAAGGTACGGCGCGATAATTTTTTTTTGCTGACAACAAAAAGGTGGTTGTAATTGGGAGCATGCAATTGACGTAAAGTAAGAGTGATAATAGCGGAACTCTAATACGATGCACGACGTGTGAGGGTCGCATCTAAGAAAAGCTGCCCCAGAAATCAAGAGTGGAAGCTAGTAGAAGAACAGTCATTTATGCACAGGTACCCTCGTCCGAAGGGAAAAGGCCTGGGAACGAAGTTGGCTTTCCATCAGTATCGTTTCACCCTGGAACGATATTGTACTCCTATTGTACTGCTTTGAGGCTTAGGTGGATGTCTGTATTAGCTTGCGTGCATCGCGGAGCTGTGAGTTATAAAACTAGACTGTCAATATTATTTTCTCCTAAATATTCATAGAAGTGCTTTTTTTGCCATATCATGACCGTTGGCACGGCATAACGAATTTTGTAAGAAAGTAATCCACAAATGGCCAGCTAGGTGACATGAGCGACGATAAACAGCTGGGCTATCGCCCGTTCCATTTATCATGAGATATTAGGGAGCTTAAGCAACTACGACGAAAACGACGACGACAACTTCAAAAAACAATAGGTTTAATGATCAAAACAACAGCTCTGCACGCGTGCATCACGCCTTTTAGTACATTTCTTCTTCTTTGACGTCCACTGCACGACTACGACGTGAAACCTCCTAATTTGACGTTTTATGGAGGACATGGACATACGAATTTTCCTTCCTCTTTTTGATCCTGAATAAAATACTTAAGAATTCAAGTCCAGGAAAAGTCACCTTCATTTGACATTTTCAGCGGGTCCAAATAGACGCGATTAAGTTTGAAAGAAAGCAAATTCATTTTTTTACCGTCATTTTCATTGCCGTCGTCGTCCTTGCTTAAGGTCCCTATTCTCTTGGCTCCTTTAGTTTTCTCAGTTTTATGTATATTGTGGATAGCTACGAAGCGTGCATGAAGATTGCATGGAGCCGCTGGAGTTTCTTCCAAAGTAAAACAACAGGCGTGGTTGGTGCTTGAACTGAGTTATGTTAACAGATTCACTTCTAAGCTTTTTATTTATTTGCACACAAGCACATATACAATAAATAAAATAGGTACCATGCATAATATTTTATTTTCAAATATGGACAAATAGGTGTGTAATGTTTATTCACCTTATATATGTCTCGTTAAAACGAGGTAAATTTGATATTCGTGGTAACCCAGCTTATTGCATGGATCACTACACCGTGACAGTTGGCTATCACGGCTGCTTTTTTCTCCTGCGTGGCTTTCCAAAAATATAATTATGGCAATTTTCATTTCAATTAACATAAGCTGGTGGTTGTATAGCAATATTCTGTTTTTATTCCCTTTAAATAATATTGCAAATATCAAAATATAACCACACCTTTTTTTCCAAAAAAAATTGTTTACACTTAATCTAGTAAATTATAATTTCAATGAAATTTAGTAGCTTAAAGTGCAGCCATTTCTAGATTTAAGGAACTTTTCATCGTCCTTCTCCTGCAAACGGATTTTTTTTTATTGTAAATGAGCAGAACAGTATCTCTAGAGTTTTTAGAGCAGCTTTTGTGGCAGGAGTGGTTGAAATGTCGCTATGATCTAATCTGTTTAATACATTTGCGACAGCCGGAATGAAAAAATGATTCTCTGCTGTATCAGCTGGTCATGAAATATGAAACCTGCACCTAGTTTAGTTGAAACTGAGTTTTAAAAAATTATATTTCTCTCACCTAAATCCGTGCAATCCGTATACCAACTGTTGATTAGGGTTCCTTGGCCGCTTGGCACTAACCCACCAAGCTGGTCTCAGATCAGCTTCGAAACAAAAACCAAACGGGCTACATCTTAAAAGCTTAAAAATAGGCGCCAGGCCAAGAATAACAGAGCTCGACGTGTTAAAAGCCTGACTGCCTATCAGAGGCCGTTGATTCCTGCAGGTGGTACCACTGGTACCAGTGACGCCCGCATGCCCTGTCCAGCGGCTACCTGCAAGGCCGATGGCTCTCGAAGCACTCCTTTTTTCTTTTTTTAAAAAGTAAGAAATCACAAGCTCACATGTCAGTGTGCACGCTCGAAGCATCTAGTATTATCATTAAAAAGATAATTTCTGGAGTTGATGTTAGTAAAGAACTGACTTAATTTTATTTTCAAAATAGCTAAAGTAAACTCCACTTTCCGGAACAAAATGACATGCATTCATGTCTTTCACGTGCTCAGTCCATGTTCAATTTCACTATATCAATATTATACCAAATTTTATTTAAACACGCTGGCCAACTGTACTTTACATATTATTATAAATAGAAAACAGATTTCATGAAAGGAGCCTATAAATATATATTTTTTGTTTTATCGTGGCGAACTGTTGTTGAAAAGGTGCGTTATAAACATATGTAAACTTAAAAACTAGATGACAAATATGTGGCATTAGCCCGCCCCAGCAACACACTACGGCCCAAATGTCGAAGCGGGACTTGTCGTGAATGTTTCTGCGAAGAGCATTTTTTTTTTGGAAGT